ACTTGGATGAACCTAAACAAATAAGTGAAACAGAACACTTAGAACATAGAATGCACTATAACATTTTCAATGGATTACACCATTGGAAAATAAATGCTATACTAATCTCTTTCCAAAGTTTTCAGAACTAACCGTGATGTTTTGAAAATCTGACTTCACTGAATTCCCAAGTTGCAGTTCCCGATATTTAGACCCTGGTTTAAGACCCAAAGCTTTGGCTTTTTCAGGGTCAAATTTCCCTTTGATCTCAGGTAATTCACAGACATAAATGACAGACATGTCGCCAGGCTTTCCAGTAGGTGAATTTTTTCCATTAGGACTAAAGGGTTTTGACACATCCACCCTGTCATTAAAAACCTTTTCTGTAGGATTCTGAGTGATGGACAATTCATTCAGGAGCTGAGCCCTGTTCGAGAAAATTGGTTGTAGAACAATGGCTGATATTTTGACAACTTCATCATCAACAAGAACAATGGGTTCTGTAAACTTTGTTTGACTAGCCATAAGACCCCCAACAGAGGGCCCAAAGCTCCGAGTGTGAACCATGGCAGCATTTGGGATGAAACACCTCATAGCATCAATCAAATACTTGAGATCTGATGGACCCCATACATTGACCTTCAAAACAACGCAAATTATTATTTAAACTAATATCTGGGAGACTGGATCCAATTTAAATAAAACTTAAGGCCGATTACAGAAAAGAAGAAAATCATAGAAAGTCAATCTGATACTTACAGACATTCCTTCTTCACCCATGCCAGCCAAAGTCAACAGCAAACCTGTGATGTAAAGTAAAAGTCGGGCAATTCAGGGTCAGCAAGAACAATCTCTTTTTCATTACCAGTGCAGATATTGAAAGCACAATACTATGCTTAAAGATCTCATCATACAGAGTTACTACACATTTTACTGGTGATAGAACAAAAATACAATAAACAATCTTTAACTGCAACTGCAACATCTTAGCTGATCTTTCAAGAAACAAACCTGGAAGTCCACCTGCAGTCTCCGAGCAGACACGAGAGAGAAATATGTGATCAATCTGAAGAAGAATCAAGAACATCAATTAGGCATCTCAATCATAGGAAGAAACCTCAGGAATCAATATGAAGAACAATTTATATGTTTATTCCAAGTTCCAACAACAGACGATGGGTAAAGATTCCAGATATCTTATACCTTTGACAACTTAATCTTATGCTCTGTGCAGAACCTTTGCAATCCCTGCAGTGAGAGTTGCATAGTAAGAGATTATATTACTTTAAAACGGGTTTATCATTGAGTTCCTAATGCAAATCACCTGACACTTACCTCCCCAGCGTTAAATATAAATCTTTGCTTGTCAAAGAATAGCAACACCGAAGGAGATGTATCCTGAGTATCCATTCCAGTCCCTAGTACCTGCAATGAGTAAAAGCAAGACCAAATTATTACCCCATAAATAACTAAAAAGATAAATGATAGAAACAAACAGTGCTTTCTAAAGTTAAGACATACAAACTTTTTCGGTTTTCAAGAAGTATCCATTCAACACAAAACTCAGCAAAAATCTGCTTGGTAAATCAAAACCATAACATTCTGAATTTAACTTTTATGATTCCTTCTCATCACCAATAATCAAATCCCACAACCAAGAAATTACCATGAGAACAAATTTAAATCCAAACTGAAGTCCAAAAACAGAATACCAATTTAGAAGCCAGATTTTCAAATCCAAAAAAATTGCAACCAGTTCCTAGAATCACACTCCCAACTTTAGTACTCCCACCCGGTTTTTATAATTCAAATCCCAAGTCCACTTACTCGAGTAAAGTCACTGTCACTTATTTGAGGGTGCGAAAATGGGTCAAGGGTTGGATGCCTTTCAGTGTAATAAAAAAAAGAGAGAGAGGATGAAGTGAAATGTCAGGGCAGAAAGTAGTTCTGTTTCGATGGTTTACTGAAGGTACAACCTCTGAGTATTTGAAACATTATTATCCACTTGAGATGAGTCATATTAAACAAGCAGAACTATTCTAAATGAGAAAAATCAAAGAAATGAATGTAACCCAAGAACCGATGCAGTGAATACTACACTATACTCAACAACAACTAAAGAAAACCCAGAAATCAGATTAACAAATATAACACGAGAACCAATGCAATCAATTATGCAGTCTACTCAAACGTTAATGAAAACCCAGAAAGCCAAAACCTCAAAAGTCAACATACCTGCACATAAGATAGGGTATTGATAGGATTGAGCGTGCGCACTTTTCGCTGAAGGTTCTTCTTGGGCCTATCATTCTTATCGTTACCCTCTGCTCTTCTCTTATTGAACCCAGCAGTCTCAGTCTCCTTAGTTTCCTCCATTGCTTTGTCTCTGCCTCTACTCTCTCTGAGAGTGGTTTTGTTTCTGGCACCAGGATTGGGAGATTGGTTGGGAATGGGACGGTGTCGTTTTCGGTAGGAGGAAGCGAGGGCGGTGAAGAGAGTGCGAGGTTTTAAGGGTTTAAGACTGAGGGAAGATAATGAGAGATGAGGGAAAGGGGAAAAGAAGAGGAGACGGAGGTTTGTGACTTGGGGCATAAGCATTGGCATTGCGACTCAATTCTCATTGATTTGGTCTATAAAAATGAAAATGTTGTGCAACTTCAAACTTCAAACGTCAAAGGGGGTTTTAGCAGGGTGTTAGAAATCTTGGGATTTTTTTTTGGGGGAGAATTGTCTATAGCTTGTAAGGTCCACAATTTTACCCAACCCACCCATCAAACCCAATCCAAAAGTGGCCCAAAATAAGTGACCGTATATTTTTGTTTCATAAAAAAACATTGGAAGTTTTACATTTTAGATCATTTTTTATGAGGCATTTTAGATATGATTTGTGTTGATATGTTCTTGATCTCTTATATAAGGAGCATCCCGTCAAAACACTGATGAGTTGTTGTTTAGGACCAAAAAAAAAAAAAAACCACTAATGAGATGACTGGGTACTGGGAAATGTCCATAATACCCTCACTTAGCTACGCCAACACAAAACCAAATCAAACTTTTCACTTACTTTAAATCGTTAATGTTAGAATAATTGCCAACGTGCTGGAATAGCTCAGCTGGTTAGAGCGTGTGGCTGTTAACCACAAGGTCGGAGGTTCGAACCCTCCTTCTAGCGCTTTTTGAAATTTGCCTATGTTTTGAGCAGGCATGCATTCCCAATTGAGATTTGGTCCCATTTTGGTCCAACCCCAATTATCTTGAATTTTATTTTATTTTATTTATGCCATATTTGTTGGGCAACCACTGTATATGAGATAAGGTAATTAGCAAAATCCACCACACATCCATCATGATGCAAACCAAACCCATAAAACTAGCACTGTTAAATTATCCTACATACACAACACAACCTATCTTTTTATAAAAAAGAATAATAATAATCTTTCTTTCAACATATCATCATCAAAATGGGCAGTCTCCAACTGAGCTCTTGTGGTTCATCTTTTTGCTCCCTCCCATTCAACTTGATAAATTCCACCATTGCCAACTCGCATTCAACTCTCAGACCCTCTAAGCCTCTCAGCTTCTTCTCCAGAGGAAAAATTAGAGCAGTTAGCACATCCCAAGAGAACCCATCTGGAGCCATTGAACCAGAGCAACCCCCTTTGGTTGATTTTGCATTTGTCAGTGTAAGTTCTATGAACTATGTATATATATGTTCATGTGAAAACTTATAATTTGTGTCATTCATTGGTTTTGTTGTTTTGTTTTCAGTCTGTGTTACTTCCTGATCAAACACCAGATGTGCATCTTCGTCAAGCTTGTGGAGGGCAGAAGCTTAGGAATATAATGTTGGATTCAAATATTGATTTGTATGGACCCTATGTAAGCTTCTCTCTCTTGCTCTAAGCTTCTCTCCAGTGATTTAGAACAGAAATATATATATGCTCAAAATGTTCAAAATGTTCAGGCCAGGACTCTGCTCAATTGTGGGGGAGTAGGAACCTGCGGGACATGTATGGTTGAGGTGATCTTTCACAGTTTTCTTTTCCCCCTTTTCTCGTATCTGATTTGAGTCATTTCAATTTTTGAACGAGTGAAGAATCTTCCTTGTGTTGCTAGGTTGTTCAAGGAAAAGAGCTGTTAAACCCTCGAACAGGCAAAGAGAAGGAACACCTTAAAAAGGTATGATCATGGGCCTCGTTTGTTAGGGAGGACTAGACTAGACTGGACTATCATCGTGAGAGCAGTATGCCTAATTGTAGTGAAGGCTTAACATTGAATTGAACAATTTGCAGAAACCGAAAAATTGGAGACTTGCTTGCCAAACCACAGTTGGGAAACCTGATTCTAGAGGACTGGTTTGTGATGTCTCTATGTTGGAAAACAATATAGTATTTTTGGTTATGTTGTCTTTAAACAAACATCTTCATCAATTCATGGATAGTTGGGTTGAATTAATTGCTTCTTTCTCATTTGATTGCAGGTTGTTGTCCAACAACTGCCAGAATGGAAAGCACATGAATGGCGTTATGAGGAAATCCTAGTAGACCCTTCACAACCATCATAAGACATTTTTGCCAACCAGTATTGTAAAGTTTTAATTAGATAAATAAATTAAATTCAAAATCCGGTTTAAATTATAGAAAATTCATAATTACGTTATGCTTAAGGCTTCAATGCGTGTACATTCTCATGTGTATTTCTGCTTTAAATTGTCTTACTTCCACCTACATTTCTAAAGCCAATTTCCACAAATGCACCGAATGTCATCAGTTGCATTATTGGAAAAATGGACTTTCCTTCCATCCAAAACCAAAAGAACCCATGCCAATGTGGTACAGCTCAGTTGGTTAAACTATTTCACCTTCACTCATGAGTCATGTAGTCAGAAGTTCGAAACTTCCAAACACCCAATGAATACTTATATAAAACACTCTCCCTCAATCGACTGTACTAAAAAAAACCAAAAGAACCCACAAAATTAAACAAACCATATACACAGAAGAAAGAGGGGCCCGGGCTTCACCAAATTCATTCATTTTCACAAGGAAAAAGTGACCTACAAATGGGCTTTACAAACAGCACAATAAAACAGGGTTCCAAGTTGAGAATAAATAATTGGAAAGTTGATAAGAAAAAGAAGCAAGAACAAAAACTTGCTCTTCCTTCTTTTATTACGAAGGCAAAAGGACTGGCTAGGAAGGAACACATGCAACATACTCAATTTTCAACCATATCAATACTCGTTGACTAAGGGTGCATGCTCTGTGTGAAAAAATACATTGCCATATATAAGCCCAGCAAGCCCACCACCAATCAGGGGCCCAACCCAGTAGATCCAGTTGTCGTGGAAGTCGCCGCTAGCAACGGCAGGCCCGAAAGAGCGAGCTGGGTTCATTGATCCGCCGGAGAATGGGCCGGCAGCTAAGATGTTAGCCCCAACAATGAAACCAATGGCAATGGGGGCAATGGTGCCCAATGCGCCCTTCTTGGGGTCAGCTGCTGTTGCGTACACAGTGTAAACCAAAGCAAAGGTGATGATGATCTCAAATATTACTCCTTGAATGGCTCCAACTCCGGCAGCCAAACTGTGGATGGGAATTGTCTGAACAGAAATTCCATAGTTAGTTTCAACACTGAATTAAACTAATAAATTAAGATTCCTTTGTACGTATACGCTAAATAGTAACTATAATTAGTTTAAAATACTTTTTTTCATAACAGTGACGTTACAGTTATCAAATTTGTTCACCAAATGATGTCTTAGTTTAAGTGGTAGTACCTTACTTGTTCGTAATAGATAAGATTTAATTTAAAAGGAACTCAAATAAGAATCAATCAAATGTTGTTAGTGAACAGATCTGGTATCCCTAGCGGTCCTTTGCATAAATCACAAAAATTATCAACACAATTTTATTTTGTACAAAGAAATTCCACTAAATCCCCCAAATAAAACCTTTTAATTTCATTCACGGATAAATAGAGAGCCAAATTCTAATTGTTGTGCTAGCTAAGTTGATTAGGGTTAAGCCTTAAGTGTCATAATTTGTCACTCCTAAAATTAAGAACACCAAAATATCATAATTGCCCTTATTTTGTGCATGAAGGCTTAGGTTGGGATGGACAAAGCTGTCATTCCATGCACTATTCGTTGAGTGAAGGAAAAAGTTGTATTAATTTTGGATTGGCATGTTGAGCAATATCTTACCAAGCCTCCGGTGACGAACTTGAGGATGAAGGCAGCAACAATGGCACCAAGAAGCTGGGCAATCCAGTAGAAGATGCCAGTGAGGACAGTGATTTGGCCACCAAGAGCCAATCCGAAGGTGACAGCTGGGTTCACATGTCCACCAGAGATGTTGGCGCCAACTGAGACTGCAACAAAGAGAGCAAAGCCGTGGGCTAAAGCAATGGCTACTAGCCCAGCAGGATCAAGAGCAGCATTGGATGTCAACTTGTCTGCACACAAAAAGCAAAAAAAAAAAATCGTTACAAAATCACCAAGGATTATTAGTGCATGATTTAAATTGTTTTGCAAGTAATTAAATCTCAAATCATAAATTGTTATAGATTGTATCGTCGTCTTTCTGTCACAGGATCGAATTCATGACACAGTACCTCGCAAGTTGAACTATTATTTTCAGTTTTAGTATGTTGTTTTGATAGATCAAAAGATAAAAATGAATTGAATAGAAGAAATGATTACCGTAAGCAATGGCTGAACCAACTCCTGCAAAAACAAAGAGCAAGGTTGAGATGAACTCTGCAAGATAGGCCTTAAAGGACCCCAAACTGAAAGAATCATCAAAGCGCCCAAATGCTATTTTGGCCATCTTTCAAAAAGCAAACTTAATTGGGAAGAGTATGGAGAGCAGAAGATATGGGTTTCGAATTAGGAAGGCTAAGATGGCAAACAAGCCCTAGCTAGGTCTCATATATATAATAAGAATACTACTTGCCTCCTTGTTGGTAAGTATATACTTTTTATTTATTTATTGCGAATTACTGTTTCACATATACAAAAATAATTCATTAAAAATATATATATATATATATATTTATACACATATATCACACTGTTATTGGCACGAAGGAATATAGGAACTTCTATTTACCTGAAAACGAGAGAAGTATTTTTCATATAATAACAACAGCTATAGCAAGTTGAAAATAATAATTAGGGTTTATTAAAAAGAGTCACAGGACATGCATGTACTCTATTATGCATACTATACATAATGTTTGATGAATTAATTTGACATTTAGAAGACAAAAGGGAATATATATGGAAGGGGTAGTACCAAAATATGTATGTCCATACATGCAGTGCAGACATCCAATCATGTCTCTTTTGGGGTGGTCTTAGCTGTCACCAACATGCTTTAATGGATATGTCTGGAAGCTCATCAATGATTCTACCAAGTGAGCTAAAATCCTGTGAATTCAATTGAGAAAGAAAGTAAAAAGGATTGTGTTATGGTGGTGGGACATGTTTGTGAAGAAAATAATGATAAAAGAGGAGGTGATGGACGCACGACAAAGTTTGGGCCACAAACACCACCGACCATGCTCCAAAAATAGGCAGGAAGGAAGAGATTCTGAAAAATGAGTGGATAAGATTAGAAGTGTGGGGGATTATGGCAAGGTTTTAATTATTGGGGATAGAGAGGAATCTCAATAACTCTGTCTGTACTGTTCACTGGTCTTGGAGATCAAAGTTTCTTTGTTATCACTGTGATTTTTTTCTTTTACACCCTTCCCTGTTATGGTAATTCAAGGAAGGGGTTTTGGCTAAAGGCTTATAGCAAATAGTTAAAAGTATTTATCTTTATATTCGAGGTCCTGCGTTTGATTCTCGTTAGTATTATTATTCGTATTATGAAGGAAAAAAGAAAGGGATTTTGGAATTGGATACTCACTATGGTCCTACATTTGAATGTGAGAGAAGAGAATTTGAGATGCAATCCATGTTTGATAGTTGAACAAAAATTTTATGTTCAAACAATTGAAAACTAGTAAAGCCACACATAACCTGGGATAGAAAATCCATGAGCTAAAAGAAAAAATCTGCAATTCTCTGTCCCAGGTTATTACTAAAGGGCATATACAAAAGATGCTTCTGAAAACGACATGTCTCTCTTATTATCATAATTGCAGTGAAGAGCCAAATATGAAAGATTCAAACTACAGAGGCAATGCTTTTGTTTTTTTTGTTTTCCTGGTTCTCTTAGAAAAACTATCAGAAGAAGCTGGACCAATGATGAGTGTGACTAGCCAAATTATACGTCGGCCTTGTTTGCAGTTGATATAGGGCTAGGTTCAGTTCAGTTAGCCCCTTTTTTGTTGGGCTTCAGAAGATTACATGGTCTTGCCAAACCAAGGTGTATGTTGCTTTTTTTTTTTTTTTTGGTCTGAACCACGAGGTGGTCCTGGATGGGCTCCAACTATGGATGACACCTTTAAGCCTTAACCACAACCCAGACTAATCCCCGTTCACACCGGGTCGGCCCGTAAGGAGTAAAGTGCTGGCCAAAGTGGTGACTCCATACGAGAGCAGGGATCGAACTCCTGACCTCTCTTAAGGAATGAGAGTGCCGAACCACTCACACCAACCACCTTGGTTAGGTGTATGTTGCTTTCGCTGGCATTGGACTTGGCCCAAATATGTCATTATTTTCTTACCTTTATATATGTCTCACATCAAAACTGAGACGTATAAAGTTGCATGTGATATATTTTTAGAGAAAATTGGATGAAATTTGAAAAATTTAACGGTGCAAAATTGACCCGATATAAACAGTATGTTGAAAATTATTCAAGAATTATGTTCAATTAAAGGGGTAAAACGATTGAAAATCCGAATAGATATGTCTGGAAGCTCATCAACGATCTACCCTGTGAGCAAAAATTCTGTTTAATCGAAAGTAAAAAAAAATGTGGTGGTGTTTGTAAAGAAAATAATGATAAAGAGGAAGTGATGACTGACAAAAACAAAAACAAAAGAGGCATGAAGGGGAACAAGTGCATTCAAAATTTTATTTTCGGAACAGGGGTTTTTCTCTCCCTCTTGGAAGTGGGAGCTCTTTCTCCTGGCGATGGCTAGGGTTTGTCTTTCCCTTGTGTTCTCACAAGAATTTCTCCTTTCTTAACTAGGGAGAATCAAATGACAAGAGTCAACCTTTTCCAGAATTAATAAGTCCAAAGGTCCAGGGGTAGAAGCAATTTCAAATGGAGGAAGTCCAAACCAGCTTTGCCCTTTGACAGCAGAGGAAGCAGAGCCACTATTGATAGAGGAAGAAGATGATGATCAAGTATCCCAAGATATCCTAGAAAGAAGCTTAGTGGTAAAGTTGTACTCTCCAAAACCATTCCTCAAGAAGCCTTTCAAGAACCGTTTACTGGAACTCTGGGATCCTGTGGGTGAAGTAGATATTAAAGACCTCCCAGGTATTTTCTCACTTTGAGGATAAACAAAATGTTGTCATGTACGCCCCTTGGAAATTTGATAAGAAGCTTGTTTTGATAGAGGAGCCAGATGGTAATGTAGCACCATCTAAGATGAATCTAAAGTTTGCTGACTTCTGGGTACAAATACATAAGATTCCCCTTTTAAAAATGACTGAGAAGCTTGCAAAATCAATTGGGGACAGAATGGGCAAATGTATAGACATTTCTCGTTGTGAGGGGGGTGAACTGGTGGGTGGTTTCATGAGGATCAGAGTTCGAGTAGATATTACAAAACCTCTGTAGAGAGGCCTAAGGATAAATCTTCTTGGGGGCACCACTGATCTAGTTGAACTTGTCTATGAAAAGCTTCCCAAATTTTGCCTCGGCTGCGGAAGAATTAGTCATGCACTTCAAGATTGTACTCATGTACCACAACAGCAGAAAATGGCTAGAGAGCAACCTTACGGGAGGTTTTTGACCCCAAGAGGCTATGGCCAAGCCCAATCCTCAAACAGTCAGTGCTATGAAACCATTTCGGAAGAGGAGGAAGAGAGCAGGGGAAATAAGGGAAACAATGTTGCTGGAAAACAGAAAGGAGGTAGCTCAAATGAACTAGTTGCTACAGCCTACTCTCCAGCTAATATGAAGGAGAGGAGTAGTCAAGAAGTAAGCTTTAAGGTGCACTTCCTGCCCTTCCAATTGCATACCACAAATGCAAAAATAACACAGGCTCGAGAGTTATTAAAAGAAGCCTCCAATGAGAAAGACCTGGGACACTCGCCCTCAAATTCAATGAATTCCCAACAAGTATCCAGAGGATCAGTACAAAAAGGGGATAACAATCAGCCAAATGATGTGTCGACGAATTCGAAAGGCAGGCTGGGTTTTCATTTTGCAAAGATGTGGATGAAAGAAGAAGGATTTGAATAAATAGTGAAGGAGGCCTGGAATAATCATGCAAATAGCCAACTTGCAGTTACTGAAAGGCTGAAGAGGTGTGAATATTGTTTTAAAAATGTGGACAAAAATGTTTTTGGTAGTGTTAGATTACAATTCAAAGATTTCAAAGAAGAGCTGGCGACTTTACAAGTATCCAATCCTACAAAACAGCAAATCCAGAGAAAGAACTTTGTTTAAAAGAAAATTGATGACCTACTGGGAAAACAGGAAATCATTTGGCAACAATGCTCAAGGGTGGAATGGCTGAAAGAATGTGATTAGAATACTAGCTACTTCCATGAGAAGGCAAGGGAGAAAACAAAGAACAATTCCATTCCAGGGGTGTATAATTCAAATGGGCAGTGGTGTACAAATAGGAGAATGGTGACTGCAATGTCAGCCAGTATTACCAATCTCTTTTTGTGACAGCAGGAGGTCACCACATTGAGGCTATCACAGACACGATTAGTCCA